CCCAGGTATTAAAAAAGTGAAAGTTTGATTTATGATTATTATTCTGTCCCATTACTTTTGGTCCCTTAACAAGTGGGAGGCACATATGCGAACTGTTGTAATTCCTACACCATTCACCTGATATGGATGTAGATACCCTCAAATTAAAGCTGACAGTCTGCAGTTAAAGCACATCTTGTTCGTTTCATTTGAAATTCATTTTGGTGGTGTATAGAGCCAAAAATGTTAGAATCGTGTCGATGTCCCAATATTTATGGACCTGACTGTAATAAACAAATAAATAACTTATTTACTAAAAAGTAATTAGTGCAACATAAGAAAATGTAATAATTAAATGCAATAATTAAACATAAATGTAAATTAAATGAAATAATTAAGTTAAATAACTTCAAAATGAAAAAAAGAAGAAAAAGTATAAAACATTACGACATGATTAAATTGCTTTAATGGTGTTAATGCAGATCATGCTAGAACTCTGTTGTTTACATCGTGTTTGTTGCATGTTGAACCAAGTGTGCTCTTATAAACGCTAAAGCTCACTGGTTGTGTCGGTGAAGTTGAGCTGAGCACCGGTTCCCTCCTCAAAAATGTCATAAGGCGAGACGTAGCACTGCAGGGACAGAAGATGGCCGCCGCTCCGTGGAGTGAGCAGACCCACACTGCCGTGCAGGATCGTCTCCACCGTGTTAGCCTTCGTGGCTATCCTGCAAGAAACAAGAAATCACTGCTTTTTATTTACCTTTTCATTCTGTTGTACTGTTTGTGGGAAATTTTGTTTATATATCTAAAACTAAAGAATATTTCAAAATTCCAGCACGAACATAAACGGGTAAATGTTTTAGCGTCACAGTGTTGATACTAACAACCTTTTACACACACACACCTGAACATGTGCATCATCTTAGTAAGGTCCAGCTCCAGAGACTGCAGGGCCAGGTACATTTTAGTCTTCAGTTTGCTTTATGAGAAAAATTATTTAATTAATGGGATGTATTATACTTCTTTCTTTTTACTTTTCTTTAATACTAATGCTCACTCACTTGTCTCCAGGAAGCTTGTACAGGTTCACAAGACCCTTCAGGTGTTTGGAGAATTGCTCAAAGTTTTTCTCTCTGTGAGATGCACACATAAAACATCAATGTGTGATGCATAACCATAGAGTTATACTGTTAGCCAATTTGTGTTCAGTCAAGGTTTATCTAACCTTCATTAAATTGGGTGATGATATGTCTACGTGTGTATTGCTCCTTACCTTAGATGCTGTATGAGCTCGGGACAGCTCTACACAAGAGAAAAGTAAGAGTTAGGGTTACAGTCAAGTTCAGCTTTCCAGGATGATGCATTCTCTTTATCAGACTGTATGAACATTAAAGACTTAAAGCAGCAGTCTGCAATATTGTGGTGAGAATTACATTTACTAATGTACATGATTCCTTGTCCCTTAAGGAATAGAGGTGGAGCTCGGTTCTAGGGAATGCATTTGATTATCCATCCATCCTCTGTGCCGCTTATCCTACACAGGGTCGCAGAGGAGCCTGGAGCCTATCCCAGGGGACGCGAGGCACAAAGCAGGGGACACAACCTGGACAGGGTGCCAACCCATCACAGGGCACAATCACACACACACACCCATTCACACACTACAGACAATTTGGAAGAGCCAATCAGTCTACAACACATATCTTTGAACTGGGGGAGGAAACCAGAGTATCTGAAGGAAACCCTCGAAGCACAACTCTGCACACACAAGGAGGAGGCGGGATTCAAACCCGTGCCACTGTGCCCCCCGTGATGGATATAATTTAGACTAAATGTAATAATGATGGAATTATTACAGATGTAGAGACACTAAAAACATCACTGACCAACACTTTAACATGAGCTTTTATAAAAACAAAAAAATATATATAAAAAGAAGAAAAAAAAAAAAAAGAAGGAAATGTTTTTGACCCTTTCTAATGTTTCTGTCTGAGTTATTAACTTAAAGTCTCCCTTTCTCCCCCTAACCTCTCTCCGGCTCTCTCCCCAGTCTACACCCCACCCAATCTCTCTTTCAGCCGTCTCTTGTTCTGTTTCTCTATCCTCATCTCTCTCTTTCTTTGTCTCTCTCTCTCTCTCCATTTCTCCGTCCCCCATCTCTCACGCTCTGTCTCTCCCACATGCCTCTCTTCCCCTGTTTCTTTCTCTCTCCCCATCTCTTTCTTTTTCTGTCATCTTCTCCATCTCTCTCTGTCTTTCTCTCCCCATCTCACTCCCTCTTTGTCTTTTTCTCTCTCCGTGTCTCTCCCTCTGGCACTCTCCATCCTATTCTCTTTCCCTTCTCTGTCTGTTTGTCTCACCCCATCTCTCTTTCTCCCCCCCACCTCTTTCCCTAACTCCCACTGTTATTCTCCTCCTGTTTCTTCCTGTCTCGCTCTCTTACCGCAGGGTTTTCTCCATGATGAGCCACTTTGACGTCGATCAGTTGGCCCATAGTGTCAAGCTGCACTTCTACATAGAACATGTCAGAGGTGATGTAGCATTCTGTCTCTGAGGGACTCAGGTGTGACCCCAACCTGCAGGATGAACAACAAACCAAGAACATGTGTGATCATGTGATGGGCTCACGTGATGGGCTATGTTTCAGTTGAAAGTGATGTATAAGCAGTGATGAACCACCACAGGGATACTCACATGTTCTGACGGGCGATGGACTCCAGGCGATCGGTCATAGATGCCAGTGAGGACACTGTAACAATAACAATTATATCAGCTGATGCGGTGGATCAGCAGAACACACTCCACCCTCAGCAGTAAACAAGAGACAATATTACTGAATTATGCCATATGCATCATGATACTGTTGTTGTTTCATTTTGGAATAAAAGAATAAAGAAGATCTAAACACTAAACTAAACACTATTAGAAACAGAAGTTGTGATATTTCATAAATATACCATATTATCCCAATCTTTCTCACATTAACTTAAACACAATTACAGTAAATATACATGCAGAATCAACAGTATCGGGCCACACGTAACCAATTATTTTTAACCAACGAGAACGCACCAAGAAAAACAAACAAGCGAAACAAAAAAAAGAATTACTTTTGATCCACTTATAGTTACAGTCAACGCTGTGGAATGTCAGCGAGACAAGTTATTTCCTGTTATCACTTACATTATTGCATTTCTAACCATCGTTCCCATACCATCCTCTCCTTTGTTGGAAAACTTAAAGTTATAGCTTTACCTCTGATCTGTTACAAACCACTGACAATGGAGACTCCATCCAAACATGTTAATCAAACATCTCCTTACAGAAAACATCATTATATCAAGAACTACACATGGTTTTTAAAATCCGTTGATGAAGAGCATCTGCTTTTAACATACTGATATAAATATTTGTACAAGTTATTATGCATTAACATAACCCTGTGATTTGCAGCTGCATTACTATCAGAGATGCTGTTGAAGAAAGTTCGGATGAATCCGAAGCCAGAACTCAACAACACTATGGTGTACTAATACTAAAAGACTGTAAGGCTCTCAGTGTTTAATTCTTTTAACTCTGATAAATGTGGATGATGTCTAATGATTGGCTGATTTGTGTAGCGCTCTCACCTTTAAGCGCCCTCTGAAGCGTCTCTAAACAGTTCAGCAGGAGCTGGTGACCGGCCGAGTTCATCACACCACGCTTCTCCTACACACACACACACCTTTTTAAGATTCAGTCAGTCAATTCCGTGCCTATACATGGATAAATGTTTTAAACATTACAGTTATGACTTATAGCTCAACAAAGACTATAAGTAACACACACACACACACACACACTCACCATGGCTGTGCGGACAACTTTGCTGGTTTCCTGCCATGGCCGTGAGGCGTTGTGTTTGGCGTGCAGCCTTTCCAGCAGAGCAGAAACACGACTCTGCTTCTCCGATTCTACAAACACACATTCACTTAAACTGGTGGAAAATCGCATAAGCTGCTCCACAATGCTACACAAGAACGAATCCTCTATACATACATTTCACAGTGTATGAAATTCTACGATGGTTATTATATAACCTACATAGCACACTACATGTCCGAAAGGGAAATGATTAGGTCCAGTTTAAAATAATGGCTCCTTCACTTTATGAAATTAAATACACTACCAAGGATTTAAGATTCAAATTTGTACCACTTACGTCCAATTATTCCTGATGTTTATATTGAGCATAAAAATGACAGCCAATAGAAAACCATTTGTGCCTCTCACTGTCTCTGTCCCTCCCCAACTCCCCTATCTCTCT